CCGCAGGATCTATCGCCACGTCTACCCCGAACCAGTTCCCGTCCAATACAATCTCCGTCCCTAATCACTCCGCCACTCGCGGCATAGCAACTGTGCACAGTCGCCATGGGAACCGCCTCCTCCTTCAGTGCTGGGTACCATGGAGCCCCGCCCCTACCCCCTCCCAACAACCTGGTGGTGATGCTCCTCCGAGATTGCTCACTCCGAGGTTCGAGTCGGGTGGTGGTGGGGGGGCAAGGTCCAGGGACGAGGCATGCGGGGGCCCTGCAGTCAAGGCGCTGATTAATGCCTCGTGTGTCCGTGGAACAATGCAGCCCGTGGAGTCACGCGTGAGCACAGGCCAAGGTCACCCCCTCCCCTTTCCTTCACCACCCACCCAGAGAAATTTTCCTCACTGACTTGCAGCACCCACACACACACAACATACCTTGTTACACAACACCTGGACGTAACACAACCAAACCTGCACCTGAATACTCACACCACATCGGCAACCAGACGCGCACACTCACATTGGCACAAATACAAAGATCCCTAGTATAGCCTTACCAAACTGTTGGGGCAAGTGCTGTTACTGAGCACATATGAAAGCCGACGGGATTGGTGGCCAGCACCACGCCTTTGTCTTCCTAGTGACGATGTTTTACACACCACACCAAATACTCATTTGAGTCGATCTAGGAGAAGCCCAGGACCGGTTCACAATTTTCACTATTGGCCGTGAGCGGAAATCGAACTCGGTTCGTCAGGTTCGTAGCGCAGCGTGCTAACCACAACACTACCACTCCCCACAACAACAACAACCACCATTCGCCACTAAGTGGCGGTGACGTCACCACGACGCTTGTGCCAGGACATGTGTACCTTGAGGCCACGTGGAGTGTCGAACGCCCGCTGGCAGGAGGTCACGGGGCAGACCCAGGTGCCACGGGTCGACTGACTGAGATGACTGGCTGATGCACCACCTGTACCCCCTACTGTGCCAACCTGCTGTGCTTTAGCCACCCGGCCCTCCGCTCGTTGTTGTGAGCGTCGCTCCTCCGCCCTCCGTTGTTGTTGGAGGGCGACTACCTCCAACTGCCCAGTAGCGTCCTTCACGAGCCTCCTCCACAGAGGCCGATCTTGACACCGCTGGTACCAGTCATCGGCAAGTCCACTCAGCTCCACGTCCTTCTGTACCACATCACTCCATTTCTTCTCTAGCCCGTGCCGCGCCCGTTTAGCCCCCTCTATCCGGCCGAACAAAAGCTGTTTCGGCATGCGGTGGCTGGGCATGCGGGCTACATGACCCAGCCATCGCAGCCTTGCCCGCCGGAGGAGCTCACCGATGGGACCTTGCCCAGATCTTTCAAGGATTTGTGAGCTCCTCACACAATCCAGTCTGGTTAAACCCAGGATGGATCGTAGGCAGGCCAGCCTAAATGTTTCTAACCGGCGAAGATGTTCCATTAGGGGGGTCCACGTTTTGCAAGCGTAGAGAAGAGAGGGAATGACCGTGGCCGAGAAGACCTGAAGCTTAGTGCGGAGCGACAGACACACTAGCACACGCACACATGAGGAAACATACGTACACAAATACGTGCACACACGCACACACACACATCTTTTTTTCCCCAAGCTCACATGACCTTGCTCAATTCAAGAAATGCGTTACACTCTTTAGTAGTGTTGTTTATGGCTGACCGTTTCACGTTTTGGGCTTTGGGCCCGTGCTCAGGAACTGTGTTTAAATACCTGCTGTCAGGGGCGGAATGATCCACTCGCTAAACCCATCCTATTACGCGCTCTTTGTCATGGAATTGAAAAAACGGAGCCAAAAAGAGCCGAAGTAATTTTGACGCAAAATGTTCAAATGCCACTTTTGTCTCTTCTTCAATTCAGAATAATTCATCTGAATTCATGACATCGCGTGCAGTGGATGAAACTTCCACGGATTTCTTCTGCTCTGGTTTAAAAAAACGATCACCCAGAATCCAGTGCAAGGAAGGAGGTAGTGGGCAACCTCTAGGGGACACGGCCAGAAATACAATAAAAATGAAATAACCAAGATCCCTTGGCTTCAAATCAAATCAACATCGCGTCCCCTAATAAAATGGGCCGCTCCGCAGGCAACGGATGAGCCGCTGTGTTGAGTTGCAAGGGCCTCCCCTTGGGGCTGCGCGTGTTTAACTGTTAAGAGTCATTACTGTGGCCATTTAGAGACCTCCGCACGTACGCACGCACGCGGTGAAACAGGTGCCACTCCAAACCACCAATTACACGAATGTCACGCTCGCAAAGCCCCAGCCTGGCCACTTAATGGCACGTGAACACCAGGAGCGCTGCGTGTGTTTGTCTTGGGGTCTTCTCATCGCGGGTTAGGGTTACAGGTCAGCGTTAGGGGTTCAAGGGTAAGATGGGTTAAGTGCTTGGGCTTACGGCCACCCACTGGTTAAGAAAAACGGTGAGGGTTAGAGATTACGGTGTAACGCGTGGATTCGGGTTAAGGCCAGAGATGAAAGTTGTAATGATGCTTGGGTGAGGGGGGTTTGGGGTGGGAGTGATGATGTTGGGGTTGCGATACAGGACATGATTCATTCAGGTTTGTCGTGGGATACACAGATAACCCCTCAGGAACAGGGAAAAGCCGATTGGGAGAGGGAGGCTCTCTCAAGGGAGATCGGAATTTGAGTCATCACAGCTACACAGCACATTCCATAGGGACGGTGGTTGCAGTGAGGATTCTGGAAACAGGTTTTGGGATCTGATTATGGTTTATGGTTGCAATGACTCTAGATTTGATGTTGAGGACCATTTTAGTTTGTGTGTTGAACTTCTTTCGCGCCGAACGTAGCCACCCGTGCTAATCGGAGATGCAGGGAACGGACAACAAAAATCAGGGCGTGTGGTTGAGATGATGATGCTGAGATCATTTCAAGTTCAAGTTTCATTTATTAGGTAGAGCCCTGTGAGCCATGCGGCTCTTAAGTCGGGTGCAACCGCAACAAACAAAATATGAATCTACATTGCAGAAAACTATTACACCACAACCAGACCAAAATAAAGCTACAAAAACAATGTAACAACAGTAATAATAGGAACTGTGATTTTAAATTTAACAATAAACGATATACATAACACGTACGACAAAACCTGCAGCCATAGCTGGCAGAACGACACTTCCAGTGTATGATGTGTGAGTGAGGCAGCAGCAGCAGCGTGAGTGAGTGTATGATGTGTGAGTCGGCGTATGATGTGCGAGTCAGCGTATGATGATTGAGTCAGTATTAGGTTGAGTGAGTGTATGATGTGTAAGTCAGCGCACGATGTGTTAGCGCATGAGTGAGTCAGTGTATGATGTGTGAGCAAGTCAGCGGCAGTGTGAGGTAGTGTATGATGTGCGAGTGAGCCAGCACACGATGAGTGAACCTGTGTATGATGAGTGAATGGGTCAGTGGTTGTGCAAGTGTATGATGTGTGAGTAAGCGCATGATGAGCGAGTCAGTGCATGATGTGTGAGTGAGTCAGTGCATGGTGTGAGTGGGTCAGTGCATGGTGTGAGTCAGTGTATGATGTGTGAGTGAGTCAGTGTATGATGTGTGAGTGAGTTCGTGCATGGTGTGAGTCAGTGTATGATGTGTGAGTGAGTCAGTGCATGGTGTGAGTGAGTCAGTGTATGATGTGTGAGTGAGTCAGTGCATGATGTGTGAGTGAGTCAATGTATGATGTGTGAGTGAGTCAGTGCATGATGTGTGAGTGAGTCAGTGCATGGTGTGAGTCAGTGTATGTGTGAGTGAGTCAGTGTATGATGTGAGTGCATCGGTGTTGGCTCCCTCTGCTCGCGCCGTCGCCCCCCACCCCCCCCCCCGGCTCCGTCGCCCCCCCCCCGGCTCCGTCGCCCCCCCCCCGGCTCCATCGCCCCCCCCCCCCAGCTCCGTCGGCCCCCCCAGGCTCCGTCGACCCCCCCTGGCTCCGTCAGCCCCCCCCTGGCTCCGTCGCCTCTTCCCCCGGCTCCGTCGCCCCCCCCCCCTCCTGGCTCCATCGGCCACCACTGCAGCCGCACCGGCCATCCTCTGCAGGCCAGGAGAGAGGGAGCTGGGCCACTTCTCGTGGAGCCACTGGGGCCACACTCGCCGAGAGGAAGGTGGCGCCGCGCCTCCTGAAAACAAAAACTCCTCACTGCGATGCGGCGAGATGGCGCATAGGGGAGTGTCCGGGTACCTTCACACGTGCCCAACGAGTCTGCGTCTCCCACCCCGAAGAGACGGAGAAAATAGAAACACGCTCACATTAGCGAGGAAGTCACTGCTACACCAGGTTCACAAGCAACGTTTTTAGAGACGTTTACCCACACAGGTGCTTTGTATTTGTGGAGCTGATGGGAAGGCCCCATCTCTTCGTAGCACGCTCGAGGTTCGGTAGCCTGCCACTTTCACACACACAACCGCCGTTCGCCTGTGGCAGTGACGTCACCATGGAGATTGTGCCAGGCTAGGTGCACTAACAGCCGCCATTCACCACTAAGTGGCGGTGACTTGACCACGGCGCCTGTGCCAGGGCAGGTGCACATTGAGGCTGCGTCAAGTCTCAAAGGCTCGCTGACAGGTCATGGGGCAGACCCAGGTGCCATAGGTCGGCTAACTCAGATGACGAGCAGATGCACCAGCTGTGCCCCCTACTGTGCCAACTTCCTGCATTTTAGCCGCCCGGCACTCCGCTCGTTGTTCCGAGCGTCGCTCCTCTGGCCTCCATTGTTGCTGGAGGGCAAATGCCTACAACTGCCCAGTAGCGTCCTTCAAGAACCTCCTCCTCACACTCAAACACTCGGTCTGTAAAACAAGTGGATAACATGCGAACATAAAAGTCCTCGCAGAAAGGTGCCCGAGTCTGGAATTGGACCTGTACCCAGACTCCTGTTACCTCTTACTGCGTGCGAGTGTTGCCTCTGCGCCACCACCCTGCCGCTTAACATGCGCTTGCCGTTCACGAAGGGACAGAAAAATGCGACAAACGGCACCAACTGCACCTTTTAATAAACAATTTTATTGTCATTATTAATGTGAACACGTAAGACTGCGTACATAATTAATCCTCTGTACACCGCGCCAGATCATCCTCGAGCCCAATCACCACAGCCTGCGCTGTGAGCGAGCGAGCCCTCGTGCCAGCTACCACCACCACCACTAAGGGCCAAGCCCGTGGCACAGCCGGCACGGACTGCCCAGCAGGAGGCCAGGCGAATGCCACCCACGTTGGCGACACACAAAGACACTTGGTCCATGGCACAAAGTTGGCGCTCGGTGTGTCCCGTCAAGACGCGATGCACCTCGTCATCGTCGTCACCACGTGCACGGATAAACCCAAATACTGAGCTGTAAAAAAAGTGCACTTTCCATTGTGAAACAAAATCATAAACGTAGTTGATATAATCTGCAGTGTTTGATAAAGCGAGTCGCCCGCCACCCTTGACCAGAGTTGTAGGGCTAAATAATTTCTCGCGATCGCGAAGCAAGGCGACACCCCAACCGCGGCGTGTCGCCTTCAATCAGTTCTGCTGCCTCGGCTGACATCGGGCGAGCAGTGTTAATTAAGCATCGTGACGTACTCTGCTCAGAGATCTGCGGAAGCTCCAGCTGCCTTGGCGAGTATCGCGACCTGGCGACGGTGCCAACGCCCAAAACTCCCCTGGTCTACCCCAGCAGCACTTTCAACATCAGCTGCTCATTTCAGGCCCAGGTGACCTAGAGGAGGGCGTCACAGATGACTAGGTCAACTTCACTCATATAATCCAGAGAACACACGGATATCTGGAAAACGAGTATTCGCTCATCCAGTTCATCTGCTTGAACATGAGAGCAAACGCGAGCGACTGTCCGCCATGTGCCACTGGCCCATGCGGCACTGCAGAGGTCGGAGCCTCAATTTCCTCCCATGGCAACTTTCCCAGATTCAGCCTTATCACGCAACCATGGGGCTGCTAGAGCCCACGCGAGATACTTTCCTCAAGCCTCGTATCCGGAAAAATCGCACACAGCACAGAGACACAACAGCCCTGTCCCGAGCACGGAGAGTAGAGAGGATGAACTCTGCGGTTCAGCAGCCATGGGAGAAAAGCGGAGACTTTGGTACCAACTAAAAAGAAAGTAAACCAAGGGCAGCCGTGAGGTTTTGCTGCTGGGCAGCGTATTGAGGAATGAAACAGTCCTGAACGGGTTTGATTTGTCTGCATGCAGTTACAGAAACACGTGCTGACACACACACACACATCACGTACACTCCCATAGCCGACAAGCACACCGCCTGCACGTGACTCGCACGAGCTCGCGCTTTCACGCACGAGCTCATGCCGAGAGGTGCACTCACTCCAGCCTTGCACTGGCTCACTCAGCCCGTCTCGTGAATGGAGACATCTCACGCGCTCTGTCTATTCTCAACAATTACCGCTCGGTGCTCGCGGGGTTAAGTGCTTCAACGAAGACGCTCGCAAACGTCCGAGGGCCGGGCTGCCACGGAGACTGCCGTTCGCAACTGAGACGGACAAACTTCAGACAAAACATCACCGAGAGGCCTCAAACGGTTCCCCCCCCCCCCCCCCAAACAAGCAATTCGATTAATTCCCACAATTCCTTTCTCGATTCTTGTTTTTACAGTTTTGTTCGATCCACTATCGTAAATGTAAACAGCGTATAATCTTAATAAATCGTGATTATAAATTCCCGCATGCGCAAGGCAAAGGACACATTACTGTGAGTTAAGATTCCATTGAAATCGAGATAAATCATTGATTACTTTGTCTTATAATATAAAAAAGTCAACAACAAATCTATCGAGCCATTGGGATGCGGCCATCGCTGCCGCTACTCTATCCCACAGCCATCGCAGCTCCCTGCTGCACTGTCGGTCTGTGCCGCGCCACCCTCTCCAGCTCTCCAGCCAGCCGTGCCGTGCTGCACAGCGAATGAAAAACACCGACGGCCAGCCTACAGCAAGATAACCAACCCGTGTGCGGTGGGGGATAAGACATTTCATAATTCAGCACCGATGGAAACACGAAGGCAGCGGCAGCATTAGTCTGGGAACAACCCCTCTGGGGAGCTTAAGGAAATTACGTTTTAATTGGCCGCTAAACGTTACAATCTGCTACTGCTGCCGACGCCACCGCAGAGGTTGGGTGCAGGCGCCGGACCGCGCGACCCATGCCGAGGTGGCAGTGGCGCCCAACAACTGAGGAGTCGGGAAACGCCCTGCTAAATATATATCGGAGAAGTTTGTTAGCGGCAGGGTGGCAGCACGGTGTTAGCGCTCGTGCCTCGCAGGTATAAGGGCCTGGGTTCGATTCCCGACTTGAGCGGCAATCTCATTGGAGTTCGTATGTTCTCCCCCTATTTTGCGTGGGTTCCCTCTGGATTCTCTGGTTTCCTCCTTCCATAGCTAAACACACACAATGTAAAGTATTGGTTAAATCATTCCAATTCTGCAAAAAAATACCTGCAAATTACTCAATTAGAAACACACAGCAGGAACATCGCCCCATACTACAAACAAACTTGTCAGGCTCCTCCTGAAACAGAATCTTGAGAATCAGTGAGGCTTCCCAGGTAAATGAGCAGACTAGCTGGGTATGAACGCTGCTCAGCGAGTGCTCAGGTTTTCAAGGTTAAAGGTCAAGGCTAAAGGTCAAGTGCGGGCGTGGCCTAGGCGACCCAGCCAGCGACAAGCTCATCGGGGGGCATCGTTGTGCAAACTGACAAATGGGGATAGGTGGGACGAGGATGTGGAGAGCTGGGCAGAGCATGACAACGAGGTTGTGAGGATCGGTGAGGGTGAGGTTGTGAGGATCGGTGAGGGTGAGGTTGCTCCCCTTGCTCTGCCACCCCGGCGTGGAGCGACCGTCTTGAGGGGAGCCGCACTCGTGAGCGCCGAAGGTGGAGCTCAGCCCGAGCTGCCCTCGCCACCAACGAGCGAGGCACAGGGTGAGTCGGGTGAGGGGAGTAGAGCGGTGCGGTAGGGAGCACAGTGGAGGCATTTCCATCAGGGAATGTAAGAGCGCAGGGGAGGGAGCGCTAGGTACGGTACTCGCACCAGGACGAGTCCCCGGTGACGGCGATTTGAAACACGTTCTTGCCACGCATGGGGGGCGACGGTCGCCGCGCTCTGGCCGAAGTCTCCATTGGCCTGGCTCGGAGGTCGCGAACCCTGGTGACCCACGCCACCACGCCACGCTGTGTGGGACGGCGCGAGCACGAGGCACGCGGACACGACGGTGCTGGGACGACCGCCATCCCGCTACCTCACGCGCGCGCTTCTACAAACGCCCACGCTCGTGAGAGAGCGACTGCCTTCCCGTCGGGTCCTCCGCGGCGTTGCCAGTGCGAGGGGGGCAGCGCGTCCCCGCGCCTCGTCCGCCGGTACACCACTTTGCCGACGGGACCCCCGGCACACAGCGGATCTCAGCAGGTACCGGCGGTGCCTCGGCCTCATGGTGAACGCGGGGACGGTACCGGTGGGGTCTGCGTGACCTTTTCAGGGGCGTGGGGAATAGTTTCAGAGAGTTCGCAAGTGGGGCTCCTCCTCCAACTACACTCCTCTCTGCCCATGCACGGTGGCCTTTCCCTCGTACCAAAACCATCCCCACCCTACCCCCGCCGTGCAGGCAGGAGGTCAGAGGTCGCCGCTTTGGGGCTCTGGGTTGCGCTGAGTGTTGTGCTGCCGACTGAGCTGGGCCGGGCCCCGGAGGCGAGAGCGCCCTGTCCGTTTCTCGCTCGGCTCCGCGTCCCTGGGCACAAACAACAACGACATCAACAACAACAACGACATCAACAACAACAACGACGATGACAAGAGCAGCGTCCTGCACGTGGCTCTGCTCCGCGCGGCGTTGTGGCCGCTCCCCTGGCTAGCAACCCCTGCGTGTCGCAGGGTTTGTTTGTCACATGGAGTAAAAATTAAACCGCTGGGATTAAGTGAACAACAAGAACATTTGGAAACAATTAAGCTATTATTCTCACAGGCAGCAAGAGAGGAAATTATGCGAAATTAATGCGTTAAATGTTAAATCGAGCAGCCTCAGAGGAGAATCAGACACTCAGATTACACAGCTGAGCTTCCTGCGTCCAGGCTCCATGAGCAGTGCTCACCTCGCCGCTGCTCGCAACAACATCATCGTCGCGCTGCCTTACCAAGGCGCCCGTGTGATTACGTACACCACCACCACCACCGCCACTCCCCACCAACCGTGCGCCACCACCACCGCCCCTCCCCACCAACCGTGCGCCACCACCACCGGCCTGTGTCAATATCACAGCCCACGTCACTGTGGTACGACAGTGGCAGGCGGGACGATGCGGCGCATTACACCGAGCCCCGCCTTCGCTAACGGTCCGCCGAGCGGGAGCGGGACCGGGACGCCGAGCGGGGGCCCGGCGTCACGTTGAACGGGGGAAACACGACCCTCCGCTTGCCGGGTGACGTCGTCTGTGAACCGGCCGACGCTGACCGTGGTGCGGACGGTTCTGCGGTCGGATCGACCGCGCTGGTGCGCTCTGCTGCCCGGCGGTGGAGTGAGCGTACCCTGCGTGGCGGAGGTCCACACGACGTCCGGAAGAGATCTACGCGGCGCTGTTGAACGAATGATGCGGAAGCATTGCGGCCGTACCGAGCGGACCGCGGTCACAAGGCATCTGCTGCCGGTAGACTCGCATGTATGCTGCCAGCATTTGAACGCACGACTGCGAGCAGTATCCAGAGCTGCTAAGACGGTGAGGCTGCAAGTAGCTTCCAGGAGAGACAAGTCGTACAGAGCTGTAAGATGAGATTGTGAGCAGTGTAGACTCTTCACTCAGGGTCATGAAAACCACGGGCGATGGTGTCGGCCACAGCAGAGCGAAAGTGCCAGCGAGTTGGGGCCCTCTCGGCTGGGCCCAGGAGATGAGCTGTGTCCGCCGTGACGAGCAGACAATGCCGCCTCGCTCAGGAGGAGCTGTGCACAGCTCACGGGGATTTAAGTTGCGTCACTAGCCGTGGGGAGGGGGCTCGTGCCCCCCACAAACGGTCGTCATCGGTCACATCTTAAGTCGGTGCGATGGACACGCGACGAACGAACATCTTCGTAATTCAGATTGCGGACGAAAGGAACGCTTCGTTTAGAGGAGGTGGCAGCCGTGTCCTTGGAATGGAGACCACGTGAATGTCACACGTGCACCGGCAGGATCAGCGTCGGTCCTCTCCGATAACGTCAATTAGCGGAGAATACATTAACATTTCACCGGGGGTTGTATTGGATTCGGTATTGATGCGAGGGTTCTATTGTGCGTTGGCCTCGCAGTTCAGCTCCGTGTGGCCACGTTTCCTCCTCCTCCTCATCCTCCACACCTCCCCCTCTCCCCCTCCCCGCCCGATCGGCACGTTCGATCAAACGGCGTCGCCCGCGCGTTAGACAAATGCACGACAATAACCGGAATTGAAAAATTTAACCGAGGCTTTCTGCGCACCGCGCCGCACGATCCGCTATACAGCGGCTGCACATTGCTAAGCGGCGACTTATTCTCTACGCTCTCGTAAGGGAACGAGAGAGGGGCTTCTGCGGAGGCTCCGAGCGTGGGAAGCAGCGTCGCTTCCATTCAAATCTGAAAGTCAAATGTGAAGAGGGAGCCGGCCGTTAACCCAGCAGCGTCATCCGCTTCCCAACCGAGGAGAGAGCAAGAGGACAGCTGCCTCTGCCTTCCGAGAGATAGAGAACGCCTCACACACAGAAAGCAAGACCAGCACAGACCCTGGCATAAACCTTGACATCAACACGGACCCCATCGCCAGCACAGACCCCTTGGCCGGTATGAGATGCCGGCCAACCCAGGTGTGGCGCCATCAAGGCTCAATCATTAGATGTGAACGATTAGTGTGGAGTTTGCCCGGGGGCCTCTCTATTAAATAAACGACGCGGACGCCTGGGCGCGAACGTAAGGGTTAAACCTCCCGCTCACCGCGTGGAGCCAATTCCCTCAGCCACAGCCGCCGGCACCAAACACTCTCCGACAATTTTAGAAAATTAATTCTGGACGAGCGTTTTCCGATAGTGTTTCCAGGGCTCCTGGGAGCCCCGACTATCCCATCACTGATGTAGGTCGCAGAACCAGCTGCAACGGAAAGAGCAATAGCAACAGTAGCACAGCAGCAGCAACACAGCACTACAGCATCAGCACAGCAGCATAACCACAGCAACAGCAGCAGCAATACAACAGCAACAGGAGTGCAACAGCAGTAAAAAAGTATAAAGGCAACTGTTCGATATTGATGGCAGCAAGGCCGTATCTTGCTCTCACCATTGGTCGGGCCAAGGTGAAGCGCACGTGTGGGTGGGAGGGTCACCAAGGCCCGAGAGGCCTCACCTGGGCCCTCTGATGGGAGGGGTCAAGGTGGCGGTAGGTGGAAAGGAACAGGAAGGAGGGCCCCCCATTGTGTTTCCCTCACTGTTCCTCTCACTCTCTCAATTATCTTCACCATCTCTCCCGAGCTCCTTCTATTCTCACTCCTCGCTTGCCACCTCCGTCAAACGATCTCAGACACTGATCCTCCACCAAGTCCCCTGGGCATGTGGCGGGCTGCCCGGGTAGAAATTGAGGGTGACCTCCCATTCCCCGTGGGAGCAGCCAAACGTAGCCTCAGCAGCACGCGCAGCTTGCCGCCCTCCTGCCGGAGGACACGAGCGGACGGTTCCCCACGGCGACGCGGCCCAGCTTGGAGAGTCGGCCAGAAACGATCCCGAATTTGTCCTGTACTGACTGACACCCCGAGTCGCCCAGCTGAGTGGGGTGAGGAGGGGTGGGGGCGCCCGGCCGTTCGGGTAAACGAAGGCAAAGGCTCACTCCAATCACGATGCCGCCTGAACGCTCTGAGGGGTTTACATAATAAAGAGCGGTGACTGTGGGACGTGCGCTGAGACTCCACGCTCCGCTGGCGTGGCCAGTGGGCAGATTACAGCGGCAGACAATTGCTCTCGAATGGGCCATTTTCTTCACATGAACACCTTCCCTACGCAACTGCTGGCGACTACCGGTGGCTACCGGCAACTTCACTGGCAGTCGTGAACTTCACTCATTGATTCGTCCACCCACGGTGATCGCTCAGATCTACCAGACACTAACTGTTTTGTCTCACCCATACGGTGTTCAACCGCCAGACTGCAAGACACAACAACATACTCACCCACTCACCTACCCACCCACCCACTCACCACACTGCAGGTCAAAACCCTTCTCTCTGTTTCTTCCCTCGCACTGCTCCACTGTGGAATTCCCTCCCATCATCGTCTCTTTTCCCCAAGCTCTTATAATAACAATAATGACCTTGCTCAATAAAAAAAAATGCATTAACTCTCAATCTACCAAATATTTGATAGCGCTGTTTGTCACTGGCCGTTTGACATCCTGGGCCTTTGGGCTTGCGCTTAGTAAACTGTGTTAAAATCTCCAGACACCACAACAAGATTTGTTCATCACCCGTGGTGCTCAAGCGATTGTGAGTGGTGCTACTGGCTAAATCGCGGTGGCCTGGGCACACCAAGGGGCGTAATGCGAGCTGTTAGGGTGATCGCCCGTGTCGCGGTGTACGCACACATTTTAACACTTTCACAGAGTTTTTTTACATCTAAGAACCACGGTTGGGTGGCCTCCTGCTGCTTCCATTTCTTAAAATAAGATACAATGAAAATTGAAACAAATAAGAGAGAGAGAGCCGCCAGGCGTGATATTGCAGTGGCGGAATGGCCGTTATATAGCGGCGCATGGCATGGACCTGGAGCCGGCGCTCCGTCGCGGCCGTTCCCCGCATTGTCACCATGGAGGCTGCGAGGTGGCCTAGAGGTCAGGGCACCGAGCCTGGCACCGAGGTTCTCACAGTGAGCGAATTGACAGTCGCAGCTCCGCTCACAATAAAGACGCTAAATTTGCTTTGTGATTTAATTCGGCTAGATATCTGCTCTGACAAATTAAACCGTGGGACCCCCTATAGATGCGATTCATCATTTCCGTTATTGAGGAGCGTTGATCGTTTCGTTATCTGCGTGACCACTCAATCATTTTGCGTCGTCTTCCAAGTGGACTGTCAAGCTACGAGCAGCGTGGCTCTCCCATCGCAGGGCACGTGGCGACGTGTGGGGCCCTCGAGTGCGTGGACCAGAGGTCACTTGAAGGGATCTCAGATGTGACTCTGTGATATCCGTTCCGTGGGCCTCCTCCAAAAGAAGGGTTGCCACTGCTCCATGAGATTTCCAAAAGGATTCTCCGTCTGAAGAGGACGTGATGCCGATACCGCCGTTGCGGTGAGGTGAAGGAGAAAGAGGGAAACGTAAACACGAGCATGTCTTGTACTCCGGTGCTGTGTAACCGGTCTGCCGCGGCAAAGCCCCAGGTGTGCCGCAGTGATTTTGTAATTATCGGGAAGAACCTCACAGTTCACGAGTCGGGCCAAAAAAACTCTTCGTATCGGTCAATGGCCGATCCAGTCCCCACCCACCGCTGGATTGCGTGTCAAACCATTGCACCGCCATTGGCACCAGCAGCATCCTGAATATCAATCATTAAATAAAGAAACCGCAACAAAAAACAAAGATGTTGATTTTTTTTTTGGTTCGGTGTGCCACAAAGATCGAGCAAGTTCGATAGTGCGTGTGATTTCACCATGGAGTGAAAGTGGTTCAAAGTGATTGACAGGCACCACCTCCGTATCCACCTGTTTAACGTCAGCACGGCTCAAAACAAAGCCAGGCATTATTGCTATTGATGATGCCGTTACGACCGTCACAGCCACAGCCATTATCAATCACCCGGGCCTTTTGTCACCCGCACCGGACAGCGCCACTGCTACTCACTGTAGCTCACTTTACAGCTGCCACTTTTTGTCCTGCATCTACACCTCACCACACACACCACCACCTCACCACACACACCACCACCACTACATTACAAAAGCACACAGCTCTCCTGTAACCTGTCGGAAAGCATATCTCCCCTGTTGTTGTGTTCGCTGATTTTATGCGCGTGGACTCGGATTAGTCCAGAAGATCACGCGGAATTATTATCATATCCGTGCCGTGCCTTTGTTTGTGTGCCCCTGTGGAGCGAGCATAGCTCATAACATACAGAGGAACAAACCAGAGGAGAGCGGGGAGAGGGGAGAGGAGAAGCGGGGAGAGGGGAGAGGGAAGCCGAGAAGCGGCGAGAGTGGAGAGGGGAGAGGGGAGAGGGAAGAGGAGAAGCGGCGAGAGGGGAGAGGGAAGCCGAGAAGCGGGGAGAGTGGAGAGGAGAAGCGGGAGAGTGGAGAATGGAGAGGGAAGAGGAGAAGCGGGGAGAGGGGAGAAGGAAGCCGAGAAGCGGGGAGAGGGGAGAGGAGAAGCGGGAGAGTGGAGAGGGAAGCAGCGAAGCAGAACGAGGGAAGGCGGAAAGGGAGAAGCGGAAAGATGGGAGAGGGGAGTGGGGAGAGGGGAGAGGAGAAGCTGAGAGAGGAGAGAGGGGAGAAGAGAAGCAGGGAGAGGGAAGGGGGAGAGAGGAGCGGGAGCGGGAAGCGGGGAGCGGGGGGAGTGGGGAGCAGGGAGAGGGGAGCAGTGAGAGGGGAGCGTGCTCCGCCTGCCAATGATCCCCGCGCCACCGCTGCGCCTTGTTATCGGCGGTGCTCGCTTGCATACAAATGCACAGCGCGAAAGTGAAATCCGCGGATGCCATCAGTGGCTAGGACCATCTCGAGACAAACATCACAGGGCAGCCGGCGTACACTCGCCCTTGAATGGTATTTCCGGTGGTGACGTGGGGCAGAGAGTAGTGCGTGTGCCGGGGGCGTGCATGCGTGTGCGTTCCTGTGGGTCTCAAGGTGCACATGGCCTGGCACAAGCGTCGTGGTGACGTCACCACCACTTAGTGGCGAATGGCGGTTGTTGTTGTTGTCTGTGTTGTGGGAAGGGGCAGTGTCGTGGCTTATCCATTGCAATACGAATCTGGCGAACCAGAGTTCGATTCCCGCTCAAGGCAAACATTAATGATGAATATCTGAACTGGACCTGATCCTCCCCTCAGTCGATTCAACTTTAAAAGAGTATCTCACGTGGTGCGTAACCATCAGCACTGGGGAGGGAAATGTGTCTGGGTGTGGTGCTGGCCACACCACTCTAACTTAGAGGTTCCCCGTGCCAGACTCACAGGAAGAAGGGGTGCAGGCCGGTGAGCGTGCTCTTGCTTGGCTCAGCGGTGAAGTTGCTGTTGGCCTGCACCACCTTGTTGACCACCAGGCGCAGGTAGTCCTGCAGCTGCCTCCTGCGGCCCTCCACGAAGCGCGAGTCCTGTAGCCACCGCCACCACCAGCGACACAGAGGCAGCACAAGCGCACGCGGTCTCAGAGACACACGGGGAGTGCACAGAGTCACGCCGGTTTCCTGCTGCGCTAGTGCCCCGCACAGCCAGTGCTCTAATAAAAAAACTCAGTTGCTGAGCATAGGACCCAAAGGCCCAAAACGGCAAGTGGCCAGCAACAAGCAGCTATTAAAATTATAACGGATGAGAGTTGACACATTTCTCGAACTGAGCAAGTTTATTGTAAGAGCTTTAAAAAAGAGACGATGGTAGGGAATTTCCAAGTGGAGCAGAGCAAGGAAAGAAGCAGAGAGAGAAGTGAGGTGACCTGCGGTGTGGTGAGTGGGTCGGAGGTTGAATGAGTGGGAGAGTGGCTGCGTGCAATCGAGCGAGGCTACAAGAGCACGGAAAAAGAGTCTCTCCACAGGACATCCACTGTTGATGTTCCCAAAAAAGTGGCACTTGACCCTGGAGGTATGGATGATGAGCCGAATCAACCCCTCCCCTCGACATCCAGGATGTGAACTCGGGACCTGCTCGCTCCACCGCTGAGCCGCCCAGCCATCCTGGCGTTTTGTGGAATTTTCTTGAGCCGGGCTCGTAGCTCGACCCAGCGAGAGGCACTCACTCGGTTTTTCACCGCTCCATTTGTAATGTCTCCCTTCGATTCCCGCGCGGTCGTGTCTACGCCGTTGGCTTAATCACAACATCGGCACGTTACGCGCACCTCATCTCAAACGACCGATAGCCCCGTGCGTGGTTCACTGCATCTGTCACAAGAATCGAGTTTAACTGAGAAATCGATGCCACTGATTCACACCGAAACAGCAGTGGAGCGGACCCGGTAAGGCACCATGACCACGACGACTCCACTCTGACCATCACAACACAACAACGGCCGCACCCCCCTCCTCTCGCCATCCTCCCACAGTGTCACCGCGTCGCGAGCCCAAACTACCGTAACCTCCGCGAGCAAGCACACTCTCACTGCTAATTAATCTCCATCGCGTGACATAAGCCACAGCCCTGCCAAAGTCTCTCTTTCAAGCAGTAAACACGGTATCTAATGCCTCCATGGGGGCGGCAAGGAGATCAAGGCTTTCCGAGGGGGGCAGCAGCTCCCAGCGAGGAACAACACAGCCCTGAGGTGGTAGAGCCACACTCACACGCGCGCAATCACACACGCGCGAAATCACACACGCATGCACACACATGCACTCGCGCGCACACTCACACGTGTGGACTCACGCACACACGCACGCACTCACACGTAGACTCACACGTGTGGACTCACGCACACACGCACGCACTCACGCGTACGGATGTTCTCACGCACACACGCGCACGTGCATGCTTATGCACACAAAGACAAAAATCTCCCCCGTATAGCCTTAACAAACTGTTGAGGCAAGTGCTGTTAGTGAGCACCTATGAAGGCCGGCACAGCATGGCATGCGAAGGGAAGGGTGGCCAGCACCACGCCCGGATGCCTTTGTCTCCCCAGTGGTGCTTTTTACACACCACACCAGGTACTCATTTAAGGCTGTGTCGACCTAGGGGAGGCCCATGACCGGTTCAGATATTTGTCACCAATGGTGGCCATGACCGAGAATCGAATTCGGGTTACCGGGTTCATATTGCTACGTGCTCACCGCTGCACTAGCGTTCCCCACATACAGGCGTTCATGCACGTACACACACGCACGCGCGCGGGGCGCTGGGCCTGGCTGCGGCGACGGCCACGAGGCCGGTGACGCCGAGAGGCGGAGTCGCGCCCGCCGGCGCTCAGAGCAGGGCAGGGGGAGTGCACGGGTGCTGTAATTGGGACGCTAATGGACCCCGTGAAGACGCTTCCCGCAGCCAGGACTCTGTTATTATTCCTCCTTCACGGAGCCATCCATTAGCACATTAATGTAGTCGCTCTCCGGCTGGATGCGCGTGCACCATCTACATGAGCCCCTTCCAGCATTCCACCGGCCGGCATGCGCCGCCGACGGGCGCCGCCCTCCACTCAGCGGGCCCACCGCGGCTGCCCATTACCGCGGCGCCCCCAATGCCACCACTGCAACAGCAATTTCCGATATAGGTCGTGGTAAGAGCGTTGGCTGCACATCGGACTGCAACGTTCGCTGCGTGTGTACGATTAGAACCCCGCTGGGGAGACTTGACAAGGACTGAACAACTGAGGAGGTGGAATGAGGAGGCATGAATGAGGTGGTGATGCGGTAGCAACGAGGTGGAACTTGGAGGGGATAATGCGGTGTGGAACGAGGAGGTGGAAGGTGGAGTTGGGCATTCACGGCTCCGCTCGTCTGCACTGCGGACACTAATTGAAGCCAGTGAGGAGATTCAATCAGCGAGCGTTATAAATAGTTCCTGCGGTGGGGACTCGCGAACACGCGCCGAGGAACGTTAATCACGGGGTTTGTGCGTTAATCGCTCAGCCGCGGTAGCGGAGGGGCGAGGCCGTGAGCCCGACTCTCTGGGACCCCCCAAGGTTCATACGGCCCCCCCTCATCCCAATCCCAACGGCTCCCGAGCGTGTCCATCCCTCCACGCGTTCGTGTCTTCTCGAGTTTGCGCTAAAGGTACACGACGCTTGGCCCTGGAGACCCCAATCCTCGCCCTCAGTGGCCCACGTTCCTCATCAACACTGGCGAGGAAGCAGCAAGCGAGGAAGCAGCGAGCATAAAAGGAGCGAGCGTGTAAGGAGCGAGGAGTGAGCGAGGGGCGAGAGGTTGCGGCCACCTTGTTGCCGAGGGCCTTCTTGGGCGGCAGCTTGAAGGAGTCCACGAGTGGGTGCTGCTTGCGCAATGAGTGGTGCAGTGAGCGGAACGCGCTGTAGCGCCGGTACACGTTCCATTCCTCGTCCCGCACACGCACGTACACCTGCTCGCACGCATGCACCATCAGAGACGTCACACAAGCACGCATACCGGCTCGTGATGCACGCACACACGCACAGGCCGTCACGCACGCGCCGCCAGACACATCGCACGCACACCCGCTCTCGATGATATTTAGACTACTCTTCTACGCTGACCAGACGTGGTGGAAGAGGTGGGAAGAGTACCCACACTTTACCCCACCACTTATGACCAGCCGACCGTTTATGCTGCTGGGTGGACAGAGGTAGTGGGGGGGGGGTTTAAGAAACTTGCCACGCTGGGAGATGGAATCGGACCGGCAACTGCTGGATTGCAAGTCCAGTGTCCTAACCAATGCATCGCCATGACAGCTCCCTTAGCTTTACTACGGTAACGATGGCGCATTTATCTTTTTGGACGTTCCTGTGTGTGCGGCATATCGATAGCCGGCTTCTCGCCGTTTCATTCCGTGCGGTCACCAGTACCGCAAGATCGATTTACACAACGCCAACAAGGAGCGGCCATGTGGGATAGCGCGCAGACTCATCGATTACATTCACAATAAGATCGCCACGCTCGCGACGTGGATGCGTCGTCCACGCGCTCCCATGCCTCTACCCTGGACGTGACGGTTGTCGCTCGTTAATCTGGCCCAGGTCACAGTGTCTCAGAATGGTTCTCACGCGGCGACGTGAACGTGCGTCATCTCATCCCCGTGAGCGTCGTTACGCAAACTATGCCCTGCTGTCACATTTATACGATGGGACCAACGAAACGGTGTGAAGTTTATGGCAAAAATGAGATGCCAGTTACTGAACTGAATAAATAATGAAAAGCAAACTGTGAATGAGCCAGAAGAGAAATGTGTTTAATGAGCATGCGTTACCTGCTAGGCCACGCAGCAGAAATACGGACGCCGTCAAGGGCACTGCAGGACTGACCCAAGGCCCTTCACATGGAAGCCATGGGAGCGGGGCTAACGACCATCGTGGTTATCATCGCCTTAGCATCAACAATAGAACAATACCACCCTGAACAACTACCGTTGTATTGTGTGCTGGTGAGCTCACAGTGCTAAACACATCCTGCCCGAAAAATATAGGGCAGTTCACCACGATTGGTTTAAGCAAGCCAGACTCTGCTGAGATGCTGAATAATGAATTCCGACACAGAGTTTGTACTTACGGTCAACCAATGCTGCTGCAATGAACACACTCAGATAAAGCTGTGGTGTCAATGGAATGAACAAAAACATTTATGTTAATTCCATTATATATATTTTTTATGTTGGAGGACAAATATAGGAAGGATTGAGGCATACTGTCTGCTTATTGATTTTGTGCTAAACAGAGCGAAGGTGAAGTCATCACACAACCAATCAGACAGTCGCACCGCTGGCCTTGCACTCGCGTTCAGCACCGTCCAGAGCGGCACACCGGCTGCTGCTGCTGCCATGGTTACCCAATCCTCTCCCGTCCTCGGAATAAATCACAAAACCCGCACCGGCCTCCACCGCTGTAGGCCGCGCGTGCTGCCCAGCGCTCAAGCGCTCCTCGGCGAGTCTTTGTTGCGCTAATGTGAGACCCTGCTCGTTGTAGCCGCGAGCTTAATTACCCCGCATTGCCAGGGTTTTCAATAAAAAAAATTCCGACTAAACCTCAACGCTAAATTATCAGCGGCATCGTAGCAGAGAATTGAAGTTTAAAAATAAACGTGTGTTTTATAGCTACGCATCAATTGAGCACCTGTATTTAACAGAGAGGGCCCTTGCCTGTAACCACACGGCAGTTCACCAGCATTGGTCCAGATTTTTCTTGTGTTGAGCCAATCAATGCCGCTAAAATGATGCACCCCGAGAAGGCTGTGTGGCTAATTGGATGTTTAAAAATATACTTTCATTTTGTTACGTGGAGAAAGAGATGTGTAAAGGAGGTAGATGGTGTTGGAGAGAGGAGCCAGGGTGGGAGATTAACTCTTTCAGGGTCAGGCTAAAAGGTCAAAGCCACACCACAGGCTCCTGCAGTCACGGGAGCCACCAATTATACTTTCTGTTCAAATGGGCATCGAGGCATGATGCCCATCTCCTGTTTATAGCCCTGATCCAGGGGCGAATCTATACATAAGACAACCGCTGTTAACTTCAATTTATCTGTTTGGAAGGATGATGGACTACCATCCCAATCCGAATTTGAGTGCATGACCTTCCGATTGCGAGCCGCTCACTCTACCGCCAAGCCACTCCACCATCGGAGACGAGGCCTCTTTGAACATGGGCCCTCTGCACACTGTTGCCACGAGCTGCCTTCCCGCGTCCCCGAGCGGTGGCAAGCGTGACCCTGGCGTGCCACAGGGTAAGCGAGCGGAAGTAAACTACGAAAGCCAGACTGCGTCAACACGAGCAAGCACACGAGATCGCTTGAATCCCTTGCTCGCGCCGGGTACCTCCCAAGCGTCACATCTGCGCAGTCATGGCCTATGTGGCACGGGTCTACAACAAGGCCGCTAACGTGGCCGCCCTGGTCCTGTGGGTCCCAGGGCCTGGGCAAGACCCGGGGGTGCTCTGAGGCCTACGTGAGGCCTCGGCGGAGCAGGGCCCTGAATGCAGGGCCCGGTCGGCGAGGCCACCGGCCCTGGGTGGGTGCCGTCCCAGCGTGGCCGCAATTTGCCGCGCATTTGTAATCGGCCGCGTTGTGTTCGTGTCAAAACAGATGCCCGCAGGTTGTTCGCTGCGGGCCTCAATCGGGCGACGGAGTCTCCACCCAAGCGGCTGGCATTAACCCGTAGTGCGCCCGTTTACTCCAACGCGTCCTGCTGCACTTGTTTTTCCTAGGGGTTGCATACGCTGCCAATACGGACCGCACTGGGGTTGCCTCGCCCTGGGCACTGAAAGAGCAATCATAAAATGCAAGATCGCATTTCACGTTTCCTGAAATTTTTCAAAGAATTAATTCACAGCCCGGGGCAGCTAAAGAATTAATAAGTAGCATGAGCCATGCTGGGAGAGATGTGAGGGCTTTTATAGCTATGTACACGCGCAGCAAACACGAAGAGCAACAACACAAGCATGAACGCAGCGATTCGGCTTTTGAAGGCCTGAACCGTGCTGGCGTCGTTAATTAAAGGGCTGTACATTGGGTGAAGGCATTTTGGGAAAATTCCCCGGCTTAAGCGAGCTACTGGCGTAGCGGGATTTAGCGTGGCTGCTCTGGGATAATAATCACAGAAATAAGCGCTCCAGCCAACTCGGCATCAAAACAGCAAAAGTAAAATCATTACAAAGCCCTTTGATAGTCAGCCACGGCACGGCACAGGGAGGCCGAGGCCCCGGCGAGCGCCGCCACCACGTTGCCCCCCGCCCACCACCAGCCCTGCACTGCGCTCGCAATGGATGTCTGTGAGCCAGGTGGCTTTGATGAATTATGCAGACAGCCGGGACTGCCGGTCTCGCTGGCTATGAGCACAGAGAAGGGAAACCCTCAACGATAAATCTACATAATCCACGAGGAAGGCGTCTATCACGAGCAGCGGTTGTTGTGCCTCTAGGTGGTGAAGTCTAGGCCTCAGATCCAGTGATCTCATCTCACCCACCGTAGAATGGCTAGAATCCTCCCCTGGCTAATAAGAGGCATTGAAAAAGCTCGGTTTCCACGCCAAAGACTTCGTCTTGAACTCCCAGCACTTATTGCTGCTGCTGTGGCTGCACAGAGCACAAATTGGGCCAAAGCGGGAACCCTGTTGTAATTTTTGGGGTCGTGCACTTGATTTAAAGTGAAGCAGCAGTCAATGACCTGGAACTCACCGATTCACTCCACCCACTGATTCACTCCACTCACTGATTCACTCCACTCACTGATTCACTCCACTCACCGATTCACTCCACTCATTGATTAACTTCACTTAGCCGCTCACTAGCGGCCAGTGGCCTCCTCTTCAATCTTCTATCGCTACTACAACTGCGGTTACTGGTCCCGTAGTTTAGCACTAATTGACTAGGCCCATCACCATCATCCCTCCAAGGTCAATAAAATATATACCATTTTGTGGGAAGTGAACAGCGGTTGCCCTAAAGAGTGACCGTTGACTAGGGAATGTGGAATTTCTACCACCGTCTCGAGACCACCAATGGAGAAGAATGCTGGAGCAGGGAGACACTTTGACTTGTTTTGTTTGTGAGATTTTGATACCGGCCCTCCTCCCCCAACCCCCATCACCCCTCCCCCCACCTCAGACGGTGGTGACTCAAGCGCACATTGATCTGGCACGGAGTAAACACCGGGCTGTGCCGGTGCTGCCACTGCAACGCCAGACGGCCTGTGCAACCGTGCGAGAGAGGCGGAGACGGGTGCCACCGCCAAGGGCCGCCCTTGCGTCCCCGCTGCCCGCTCATGGCGCGGACGAGCACCTGGCACTGGTACTGCTCGATGTCGAGATGCTCCGGAGTGTAACCGCGGAACGAATTTGCCGATATGGCGCGGCCGATCCCAGTGGAAAGCGTCTCTTTATAAATCTGAATATTTATTTATTTATTTTTGGAGCTGTCCCCCCTCCCTCTCTCTCCACCGGAGAGGATGATGGAAGGGAGGGCATGCATATGTAACCGGTGCCACTCAGTGGTGGGAATGTGCCGGTACGCGAAGGTGCTCCTGCGCATCTCAGAACACCAAACGCGTGTGTACCGGCACTTTTCACAACGGTTTCTGATTCCTATGCCGCGGTGTTCACCCAAAGGGCATGGCTGCTGCAGGTCGAGTAGGGTTCACAGTGCACACTGCAAGGGAGTGCACACGTTTTATTGCAAACAACACCCACCGACCCATTAACCAAGGCCTCAACAATGTCACCACGCCGCCAACTCAAGTCCCGATCCCCCCTTCTGGGATCACGCGGTCACCGTCGTAGAATCTCACTCAGATCCGAAAGAATGCTGGTGAACAGAGGGGAACAAGGTGGTAGTCCAGAATAAACACTTAATTCGAAACCCAAACATCGGACCTCCAGGCTTTTAAATTCTTTCTCCTCCTC